TATATATATATATATATATATATATATATATATTCAATATATGCAACATACAATGAAGTGGGGCACCGTGACCAAAACTTTCCCGGGACTTTTTTTCAAGCCAGTGGCTTGAAAAAAGTCCCGGGAAAGTTTTGGTCACGGTGGCTAACTTAAATTCTTCGATTAAATACTAGCTTATTTATGATTGTAAATTTGAGGACAATAAATATCTTGTTGTTGTTGTTGTTGTTTTCTTATCACGGGAGTAGAGTAAAATCACAGGTGTCTAATTTTTATATTATGCACCAAGGTGCGGGCAAAAATTTTGTATGGGCTTTTCGCTTTTTAGCATAACTGATAATGCATTTCCCAATATAGTAATTTGATTAATGATATAAGTTTATTATTGATAAAATCAAATAAATAAATAATACAATGTGCATTCAACAATTGTGTTACACTTTCTATAGGAGTAGTGCCAATTTCTAAAATTTGAATAGAGTCACTTATATTGTATCAGAAATAAATCATAACTGTGCTTTTTTAGCTTTTTGTTTAGCAAAGCCATTGATAACATTATCAAAGTTCATTTTTCTCTTGATGCCACTTTCAAGGTTGTTAGTTCTTGATGCATCGAGGTGCGCAATCTATTTTTGATCAATTTTATTTTACAAAACAATCTTTTCTCCAAGAAGTTTGTTATCATCTGCACAAGATAAAATTAACATTTAAAAAACCATCCTGCGCATTTTTCTTAAGAATAAGTCAATACATGAAGTATATACAAAAATTCAATAAGGTGCATTAAATCATTTTCATGTTAGATAATTCCAAGTTGTTCTTGTAAGAACAATTTGGATTAATGTTTGTCTTGAATTAAAGGAGCAGAATGTGCTTGCCCACAGTCTAATGGAGTTAGCTGCACATTTTGAATTCTCAACAGCCTATCAAATACATCTGTGAGCTAACTTTCTCTGCTCCATTTTGCTCATATACTTCAAAACGTTCACGTTTTGACATGACAAAGGTCTTCAGTGATTGAATGGTGACTATCACGGTTTTAATGGTTTTTATTTATTTTGTTTACTTATTGAATTTGTTGTTATTGTTGAAAAAAGACGTTAGCCTAATGCAAAATGATTGTATATTAATAAGATCAATTTTGGAGAACATTATAAAAACCACTAAAGTAAATCTATATAATAAAAACAAAATATTGAAACTTAACATTTATCGGTTTCATCGAAAATATTGAATCTTTACCGTAGATTACAGGAACTAGCCCGAAGTTAAGAAAAGCTTTCAACAAAGTAGGTTACAGTCTTTAAATCACCAAACAATTTACAACATATAGTTAGCTCAAAAAATAAATGTCTTTTTCCAATAAATACTAATTCAGGCAGAGGAGATTCTAGATATAAAATGACGTGGAGATTCTAGAAATAAAATAACGTGAATGTTTAAAAAGTACCAACTGCTTTCTAAAAAAAAAAAAAGTCCTCAAAACTAAAAACACCAGACTTAAATGTGTCAAATACCCAATTACCCAGCAAACACAAAACGTTCAACGAACGTTGCGAACGTTAAAGAACGTTTTATGCTCGAACGTTCGCAACGTTCTCCGAACGTTTTGTGTTTGCTGGGTAGCCGACTATATTCCTTAACAAACGGACTATAACTTGAAAATTATATTCTTGATGTGACACCCCATACTCTTGAAGAAATGCCCCTGTAATTAAGCGTGTTTAAACTTGAGTACTTTTGTAAAAAATGTTATTAACCATCAAAATAATACATAAAAATAAAAAATGGGAAAATTCAGCAGTAGCGGAAAAAAATTGTCAAAGTAATTTTCCATGTAACAATAAAAATACTTCAAAAGTAGAGGTCAATTATTTTAACAGAAAAGTGAGAGAGGTATTTGAAATACAACGTCATAAATGTGCATTTTCAGACGGTGGTCTGAATCAGGATGACCGATATATATATATATATATATATATATATATATATATATATATATATATATATATATATATATATATATATATATATATATCATATATATATATATATACATATATATATATTATATATATATATATATATATATATATATATATATATATATATATATATATATATATATATATATATATATATATATATATATATATATATATATATATATATATATATATATATATATATATATATATATATATATATATATATATACTTATTGTGATCTATTTCGCATTAGAAAATATAACATTTGAAAAAGGAATGATAGCTTTAACTACTGGTGAAAAGAAAGTCTCTGATTGCTACGATTTATTGTTTTTAATAAATTCAATTCAAAAGATAATCTCATATATCTAAGGTTTGTCTGAGATTACAGAAACAAACAGAATATAAAAACCAAGGAATGTCTTTATATAAAAACATTCCTTGGTTTCAATCAAATCAAAGAATATCGTATTTAATCAATGAAACTCTTTATATAAATCATTTGATTTTTATATTATAAAATCTTTGATTTTAATATCAAAATAGTTACATGTTTGCATGTAAAATCTCATTTTAATCAAGATGTAGCATTATAGCAACAAATGAGGGGGAAACTTCGTTTTTTGTTTATATAACAAAGTTTACAGTTTTCCTCTAAACAATTTTAGAAAAATAATTTAAAGAAAAGAGTTAAATTAAATAAAAGGCACTAAGCACTAGGTTTTAATTACTAGGGATAACCTCCCTCTGTGGAGTCTTTAGCTAAATTGTCGTTCTTACAACAATTTAGCTAAAGGCTCCTCAGGGGTATGAATAAAGTATATATATATATATATATATATATATATATATATATATATATATATATATATATATATATATATATATATATATATATATATATATATGTATATATATATATAAATTTGAAAATACATTAATAACGATGACATTCTATTTATTCAATTTATTAAAATTTTAAATGTGGTATTCCGGCATATATAGTTCGATTTATTTTCAAACAACTATATGAGCCGAAATATCACATTTAAAACTAAAAATTTCAATAAGTTGAATAAATTGTTTGTCGCCGTAAATAATGTATTTTCAATTTTATATATAAACTTTATCATACTATTAAGATGTCATTAAAATATATAAATTTTCTTTTGTAATTTATGTTTTTTCCGTAATTTTTTTACTTATAACTTAGGTTTTAATTCAGTAGAAAGACATTGTTTTGAGGAACACAACACTATCATTAATTCAATTTTTTCAAAAAGTGGAGATAATTCTAACGTCGCGATATATATATATATATATATATATATATATATATATACATATATATATATATATATATATATATATATATATATATATATATATATATATATATATATATATATATATATATATATATATATATATATATATATATATATATATATATATATATATATATATATGTATATATATATATATATATATATATATATATATATATGCATACATTAGATAAATATAATGTATGCATGTATATATATATATATATATATATATATATATATATATATATATATATATATATATATATATATATATATATATATATATATATATATATATATATATGCATACATTAGATATATAATAAAATAAAATACAATTGAAGTTTCACTTAATTTGTCAAACAACAATGATAATGTCTTTTTTAAATAGCAAAATGCCATGAAATATACGGTTGTTGGGCTCGGTTGCATTAAATTAATAATATATCATAAAGTAATATATGTATTCGTTACGTATTACATATATGTATAAAAATTATTTCATTTATTCATTTGTAACTATTATCATGAGCGATTACGTGCTTGTCATAATATTTGATTACTGTTTCACTCTAAAAACTTCCGGAAAATTGTTACAACAATACATTAATGACTTACCTAGTACGGGAGTACTTTTTTACAATATGCATACCAGAAACATTTTTCTGGTATGCATATTGTTTATACTTACATATGTACTGGTTTAAAATATACTTTTTATAACTTAAAATCTTAAAAAATTTATTTAAATAAAGTTTTAAAATTTTGTAAAATTTTTTAAAACTTTTAATTTAGTTTAATAAAGATTTATAAATTCTAAAATTATTTATCAATTTCGTTTATTCATATTATATCATATTCAATTGTAAAACTTTAAGAGTTAAGATATCCTTATTTAACTTGATGTAAAACGACATTTAATTTTTTTTTTTTTAGATATCTGGTACTTTCAGAATACCATATTTTATTATGTCTGATATTGATTTCAAGGTAAAAAATAAAAGATATAATGTTACAAAAAATATTTGTATGTTTTAAATTTATTTTTATTTTTTTATTGTATCTTATCAAAACTTTTTTTAATAATTAATCACTGTAAATGAAACGATTTTCATGTTTCTCCAACAAGTTTTATAGCTTTAGGTAGTAAAAAATTTGGTTTTCTGTAACCATGGCAATCATTAATTTTTTTAATAGTTGTTAAGAATAAATTTAATACATCCTCCTCTTATTTAAAGGACTATTAATAGTAACTTTTATTGTAATCTCTTTAATTTATTAAGTTTTAAAAATTAAAAACTTCACAAATAATTAATATTCACTTTTTCTCAAAAAAAAAAAAAAATTAATCATACTCAATATTTTTAAAACACATCATATGCATAAAATTTTAAAAATGCAAAGATAACAAAAGTACTACAAGATTAATTTTATTTAGATACTTTTAATTTAGTGTAATAATCATTATCCTGAGGTTTTATTTTGTTACATAATATTGTATCATTAAAAAGTTACATATAAGAATATTTGAACTCCCACAATTTTATATGTAACTATATGTAATTGTTTTTGTTGTATATTGTATCTTGCATATCAAGTTACTTATAATGAATAAAATCAAGTATAATAGCTTGATAGCATTCTTTTGTTCAAAAGGATTAGACAGATATTAAATGCAATATTTTTTTAAGTTAAGATTATGTTAAGTCAGTCTGAACGAAAGATGGATTCAGATTTTATGCATATGGAATTTCTAGACAGGAGAATACGAAAGCCTGTAGATGGTTTTGATTATAATGAACCAACTTTTAAAATTGGTGAAGACAGTGGGATTTCTGAAGTGCGGACTTCCAAAAAATTGTTTAATTTACATAATACACAAAATGAATCAACATTTAATATTGCTAATGTAGATGAAGGTTTTGATCCTCCTAAACCCAGCAAGAAATTATTCCAGTTAAAATTAGATAATCAACCACCATTTGGTGTTAGTGATAATTTTGAGTCTCAAAAATCATCTGATGAAATAAAATCTCCTTTTAAACTTGAAAAGGCTAATGCTGCAAAACTCTCAACAGCGCAAAAGTTGGTTTTTTCTGCACCTAGAAGGAATTATGACTTCCATAAAAACAAAGCAGAAGTTAAAGATGCTTTATCAGAAATTAATAATAGATTGTCACAAACAAAGTTTGAAGAATTTTCTTATGACAATGAGAGAATATCAACAGAACATGAGACAACTTATGGCAATAGTGGACAATATCCTGTTAAAAAACTGCAGAGAACAAACTCTGCACCTACTTTAAATCTTATTGATCAAGAAAATCCAAATTTAAGATCTTATAAAAAGGCAACACCTGAAGAGATTCACAAAATGGCATTTAGTCAATCTTTGTTCAATGCTGAACAAAAAAGAGTGGGCAACAAGAATGATGCACCTTTGACTAAACTTCAACGAAAACTTCTAAATGAAACCCAGGTTGAAGATAGAGGGGATTTGCACAAAAAAAATAGTGCTTTAAAAAACTTTCATTCCTCCCAAGTTATCTTAACTTCTCCTGATGTTTCGCCCTCACAAATTAATAATGCTTACAAATCAGAATCATTTGAATCTAGTCAAACTTTTAAGCATCCTGCTGGTATTCATTCTCATATTCAGGATCCAGTTACACTATTTGGTCAAGAAATCAAGTCTAGACAAAACTGGTCTCGGCCAGAAGATCATAACAAAGTTCCAGCTGGTGTTTCTACTCGATTAGATGAACCACCATTAATATCTAATTTTGGAACTAAAACAGCACCTGAAAGACAGATTGATAGTGCCCAAAAAATGTCTTTAAACAACAGCGATGGAGTAGCTTACATTATGGGCTATAATGGCAAATTTGAAAATGTTAGCAAATCTAAAACTGATAGTCGTAACATAATTTCTGTTAAAGAATCTAGTGAGGTTTTGTTAAATACAACAAAAACATTTGATAATATAACAACTTGTCACTGCTGTGCCAATGCTATGAATCGTGTTCATGTTCCATACAACAAGGTATAAATTATTGATTCATTTTTTTAATGATTCTATAAAAACTGTTTACTTTATTTGAAAGCATTTAACCCATTCACTCCGAGAAAAAAAAAAACAGTAAAATGATCGTAAGTGAAATAATCATTATTGATTTAAAAGCTATAGAATAATGTTTTTATTTTGTCAGATTTGTATATATATATATGTATATATATATATATAATATATATATATATATATATATATATATATATATATATATATATATATATATATATATATATATATATATATATATATATATATATATATATATATGGTAGTAGATATATATATTTATATTTTTTATATACATATATATATATATATATATATATATATATATATATATATATATATATATATATATATATATATCTTCTATAGGGTATAAAGATCTGCAATTGTTTACTAGTTTTGATTATTTTTATAGTAAAAGGAGTTTATAAAGGGCAAGTTTGTTTATAAAGTTTATAAATTCATCTTATGTGCTTTTTTTTAGTTAATGTAAATTAGAGTCTAAAACTATGGTTGTAAATGTTTTTTAAAGGCTCTGCTTGTATCTTTAAGTTGTTTTTTTTTGAATGATAATTCCAAAATTTGAAACTTGTAAAAATACTTCCTTTTTATAATTCTCTTATTTTGAATCTTTTTAATAGTCTATAGTTTCAAATGGTCTTTACAAATCTCATTATTTTTTTAAGTACAAAAGTGTGTTGATCAGATAGATTATTTCTCTTTTTAAAGTTTTAATCTTTAAAAACATACAATTCAAAACATAAATAGCATTATTAAACACTTCAAGGATATATTGGATATTTTATTTTGGAAATTATTTTGTCTCAAAAAATTTTTTTTTAGAAAAATATTAGTATAAATATTTATTGTTATTTTGTTATATAAGTATTATATATTTATGTAAAATGTATAATAATTATATGACAATATATATATATATATATATATATATATATATATATATATATATATATATATATATATATATATATATATATATATATACATATATTTGTGTGTGTATATATATGTATATATATATGTATATATATATATATATATATATATATATATATATATATATATATATATATATATATATTTATTTATTTATATATATATATATTGTTAAAAAAATTTATATATATATATATATATACTGTTAAAAAATTTTTTATATATATATATATATTGTTAAAAAAATTATATATATATATATACATATATATATATATATATATATATATATATATATATATATATATATATATATATATATATATATATATATATATATATATATAAATTGGTAAAAAATCACTTAACAAAAATTTTTCATTTAACACTGTGTTTCGTCAATAAAGACACATGAGAAACTCAGGTTTCTGAAACACAATGTTAAATGAAATATTTTTGTTAAGTGATTTTTTACCAATTTATTATTGCTCTGTTCTTTTAAGAACATTGAGCACTCTATTTTGTAGAATACATTTTAAAATTGTTTATATATGTATATATATATATATATATATATATATATATATATATATATATATATATATATATATATATATATATATATATATATATATATATATATATATATATATATATATATATATATATATATATATGTATATATATATATATATATATATATATATATGTATATACATATATATATATATATATATATGTATGTATATATATAATATATATATATATATATATATATATATATATATATATATATATATATATATATATATATATATATATATATATATATCTGTGTGCGTATGTTTGTAGAATAATATTTTTAATTTTGTGTTTTTGCTTAACATATATACGTTGCAATTTTTGTGCCTAATACATTATGTGGCTTGTATTATTAATATTTTTTTAATTTTTTTTTTTTAATTTAAATATTTTTAATTTAAATAAATTTTTTTAATTTAAATAAATTTAATTTAAATATTTTTAATTTAAATATTAATATTGGAGATTTTTTTTTAAATTATGCAATATTCCTTTAATCAGTAATATTTTTTATCCCATCTTAATATAAAATCTTTTTTTTTTTATTATAATAAAATATTTTTCTCTTCTTTGCTTGCTTTTTTTAACATACATTTTGTTTATCACCCCAAAAGTAATTATTTTCTTATTTTAAATTACTAAGCAAAAGTTATCATTAAAATCTTACAATAAGTTAAGATTACAATTTGTTATGATTTTTTAATTTTTGATTTTCTTACTAAATAATATTTTTTTTGATTAATTTTATGGTTTCAAAACAATGTTTTCCCCGTTAATTGTGAATAGTTTCTTTTTATTTGGACTGTCAAGGAAATGCTAACTTACAATTTTATTTTTAACTAAAATTTATCCTAAACAGGATTTTTAAAAGGTTTACATAAATGTCAGCATATTAGATAAAGTGCTGTGTTGCTGGTCAACAAACGATTTGATAAACTTTACATTTAAATTGAATTTTGTGCTTGTTAGTTAGTGAAACCTTTTTATTTGAAAAGTTAAAAGTTACAATATTAACACTTTTCATTCTTATTTTTGAGTAGACACAGTGGCATGGCTTCAGGTTGGAGGCCTCCCCTCTCCTCCTCAAAAGTCATTAGGGCCCCAAAATCTTGAGAAACCTTCCATTAAGTAATAAAATTGTAACAAACCTTCCATTAAAGGTTACAAAAAAAAAAAATCCTATCAATTTGCAAAAGAGCCCCCTAAATTTTCTAGGTTCCCTTGGGAGCCTAACCATCGCACTGATTAGATATTTAGGTTTTTATTCTTTTTTTGATTGCGTAATTAGTTAATGATTTTTTTTTATTTTATTAGATAATTAGGTTTTTAATTGTTTTTTGATTAGATAAATAGATTTTAAAACTCTTACTTTGCACAATATACAATAAAGCGCAATGCAGAGATCAAACTCTGCATTGGATTTCTGGTCAAGAAAAAAGGTAACTTTTGTGTCAAATACAATTGCTTTTCGAAGATTATTGTTTAAGTCTTATTGTTTAGTGAAAACTAATATTTAAAAAAGCAAAAGTAAAATTAAATAATTTTAATTGAAATAACTCATTTTGAACAAAATTCATTATTTTTATGTTTGTCGATTTTACTTTGATGACTGGATGTTGCTGTGAAGACCTTGTTTTTGTATTTGGTTTCTAAAATTTATTTTCTTTGCACATGGTCAAGCCAGCTAAATGACAAACAATGGAGTTTGTTGCAATACTTTTTTAATTGCAATATCTGGCTGTTTTTAATTTAATGCACATTCAATTATGCATAAAAGTTTAGCTTTTCATGTGTTTGCAAGCAAAAATTGGATCATTAGAACTCCAACACTTCTCCAACCATCCATAGTTGTTATTGTTGTCTCTTCTTGTGTGTTATTGTTCTTAATTAATTTATCATGTCTATAAACTCTCAATTTTTAGTTCATTTAAACGTTACAAATGTATAGTATAGCACAGAAGAAAAATTTTGCTTTTATTTTTTTTAATTTTGCTTTTTCTATATTAGTTAATATTGTGTCAACAAGGACTTGAAAAAAAAAACTTGTTGCTATGTTCAAATATTTTCCTGCTATGTTCAAGTATATGACAGATTGAAATTGTCACCTTCTGTATGCTTGCGTTAAAACTTCTTTCTTTTGGCAATGTTTTAAATGGGGCTTAATGTTTCTTATCTTGTTGCTAATCTAAGCATTGCAATAGCCACAGAAAACCTTTTTACTGTTTTCAACATCAGTTAAACATACTGTTAACATCAGTTCCTTCCATTCTCAATTTTTCATTGTCGCACTTCCTATTGGCATTTTTAATTATAAAATAATATTTTTTTAAATATAAAATAGATACATTTAGGAACAATTTAAAATTTTTGTTTTTCAAGTTATTTGTCAACTTATTTTGTTATTAAATATTTTAACAAAATAGATATCAATAGCCTTTTACAGTCAGCGAAATTCGAAGGAATACCTTAGCCAACGTCAGGTCGGCAAAATAAAATTGGATTTTTTGTTTTCTGTTACGATAGGGGTAATGATTAATTGATTATAAAAGGATTGCTTTATAATAGGATAGCTTCAGACTATCAAATTTATGAATTAGTGATTTTTTAGTTTCCAAGTTGTTTTTTTTAAAAATTGTCATAGTTTATTTATTACATTTTAATTGGTTTTTTATATTGCTCATAGAAAGAACGTTGTTTAGAAATACAAATTTAGTTTATGTGCTGTAGGCAAAGATTTTGTTTAAAACAGCAAATGGTTTAACAAAATAAGTAGACAATTTACATCCCGTTGTTTAACCTCTACGAGAAGTAAGCATTAAATTCTAAAGTAGTAAGGGTGGTGTTTTTTAATATTTAATTGTAGTATAGTATGAACTTGTAACTATATGTAAATTGATGGAGGGAAAACAAATGTTAAAAATACTAAAAATAGTTTTTTTTTCTTAAATACAAACATTGTTTTCACGCAATGGTGATTATCATATTGACGTATTTTCATAATTTTCTTATTATCAGATTTTTCTTTCCAATCATCATAAAGTTATTTTTTTTTTATAACTGTTCCCTGTCCAAATGTTTCTGTTGCTAATTTAGCACAGCCTTTACTTTTATTATGACAATTTTTTGAAAGCTCTGAATACTCTCGGCTAATTTAACACTTGCCGAAACTATTCAGAGTTTTTAAATTACTTCACCTGAATCATCAGTTTGAAATCCGCGGGATTTAAACCCCCATTTTTCAATGACAGTTCTGTTAGGCATTATGACTTGTTTTGAGCTTGCTTACTGTATTACTAATGTGTCTGTTGCGATTTAATGGAAGCCTTAACTTCTATCAAATTTAAAAAAAGTTTTGTTACTAATGTTTCTTCTCCACATGTGTTTTATATAACTATACCAAGGCTAAACTTTCCTAATATACTTTC